AGTTGTACCCGAACGATACTCAATGGTGTAACAGTAACCCATTAGTTTTGGCAACCATGCTTGTTGGTATGGAGTTTGCATAACTTGGTTGGTTAGGTGCTTAAGGCTTTGTTGATTGGTCCGAATGATAAACGAGTGACCCAACAAGTAATGGTGAAACTTACAACCTCTGTGATGGCATAAAGTTCACGAGCATAGGTAGACTACGCTTACATGTGAGTAGATAACTTAGAGAAAAAAGAAATCGGATGATCAGATTGGCTGAGAACTGCTCCAATCCCCGACCTTGATCTGTTTGTTTCCACAATGAAAGGTGTTGTAAAATATAGGTGTTTACGGTGGAATTTCGATCGATTTCGATTCTAAAGGTATTTTGATCCTAATCAAAATTCTACGTAAGTTCTTTTATTTAGGTTAGCGATCGACTTTCAATCGAAATTATGTATGAGAATCGAAAGTCATAGAATCCAAAAATGCTATTTTTTAGTATTTTTTATTTAAAATACCGAAAGTAGTAAAAGCATCGAATCGAGAAACTGAATGTTAAATTGCAAGGAAATGTAAAGTGCGAAAACCCCAAATTTGCCTTAATTGTAAATGACAAGAAATCGAAAACGGTGCAAACACAAATGACAAGAAATCGAAAACGGTGCAAATATAAATGACAAGAAATCGAAACTTGCAAGGAAGGTATCGAATCGAGAAATTAAATGACAAGAGAATTAAATTGCGAGGAAATATAAAGTATGAAAACCCCAAATTTGCATTAATTGTAAATGACAAGAAATCGAAAACAGTGCAAATATATAAATGACAAGAAATCGAAATCGCAAGGAAAGTAAATGACAGGGAAAGTTAAATGCAAAAGTTTAAACTTTCATTGAATTGAAATAACAAATAATCGAAAATACGAAACATAAAGCTGCTTGAATTTAAGTTGCATCAAAGTAAATTACCAAGGAAAATACGAAGCGGTAAATGTACTCGGTGAGCAAGGAAATCCAGTTGCCGGAAGCTTCATGGTGTTCGTCGTTTCTCGGTAGACTTTTCACTACTGATTCCGTTCTCTGCCAATTTCTCGCTCTCTGTTTCTTCTTTCTTTGCTCTATTTATAGTGCATCGTTCAAGTCTTCCAAGAGCGGTTAACACGATCTGCTACCACGTTCTACGTGCATATGGCGGTTTTATCTTCTACGGTTTCCCACGTTCTCACGATCTTTGATTTTCTCCATGGTTTCAAAATTGTTCTCTATCCGTGCGTTTGACTTACTTCCTTTCACGATTTGGCCAAAGTCTCGATGTCTACATTGGCTTTCTTTACTTCTCGATTACGTATTTTTTGAGAACTTCAAATTGCTTACGATTCCTTTTTAACCCTGGTCTCATATGACTTAGTTTTTATTCGACAACAGGTATTAGGTTATCATCTACTCGATTCTCGATTGTGTTTTTCGGTGCTATATACTAAGTATTTCTAATTTAGACATCGAATGAATTTATGTTTATCTTATCGAATCACATTTCTTTCCTTCATTATTTTCGATCGCTTTCTCGATTTGCCACTAACAATAGGAGAGCAAAGACCAGAGCCTATGTAATGGCTACTTTCAGGCAGTAAGAGCTTCAGAAGTTGTAGAAGTCCAATGAAAAACATCTTTTTTCAAAAGTTGAGTTAAGGGTGCCACAATGGATGCATAATGGCAGACAAAACATCTATAATATCCTGTAAAACCCAAAGGTCCACGTAAATGAGTGATAGTAGTAGGTATTGGCCAATCCAACCTAGCAAAAACCTTAACCTTGTCCATAACAACACCATCAATAGAGATAACATACCCCAAGTAATCAATTTGAGTCTGACCAAAGGAGCATTTGGAAAGTTTGGCATGAAGGCGATGTTCGTGCAACTTAGCCAAAACTAAAGCAAGATGGTCAAGATGTAGGAACCAATCAACATTAAAAATTAGTATATCGTCAAAGAAGACCAAAACGAATTTAAATAAATCAGGTTGAAATACTAAATTCATTAGAGCTTGAAAAGTGTTTGGAGCATTAGTAAGGCCAAACGACATAACCACCCACTCGTATAGTCCTTGGCGAGTATGAAAAGTAGTCTTGTGGCGATCAACCTAGTGGACAAGAATTTGATGGTATCCTGAGCGGAGGTCCATCTTAGAGAAATAACGGAAGCCATAAAGCTCATCTAATATTTCATCGACTGTGAGAATTGGAAAAGAGTCCTTCACCGTAATGGCATTAAGGGCACGATAGTCAGTACAAAAGCGCCAATTTTCATCCTTCTTCTTAACTAAGATTACCGGAGCAGAAAACAGACTAGTGCTAGATTGAATGAGCCCTTCACAGAGCAGTCTTGAACCATTTGCTCTATAACAATTTTTTGGTGAAATGGGTAACGATATGGTTGAACCTTTATTGAGGATGCATTGGCCACCAAAGGAATGACATGGTTGTATTCCTGAGGGGGTGGCAAACCTTTAGGAACCTTGAAAACAACGAAGAATTGTTCTAGCAATGACCTTGAGATGCAGATGAAGACATAGGTCCTACAAGGGTATTATTCTCATCAAATTGGCATCCCAGGGAAACGACACGCATCAGAGACGCAGGGGATTGTGAAATGACATCGTGGCGAATCTCGAGTTTCAACCCACTGATAAAATAGTCCAACAAGGCATCATCGATCATCCCTTCAACACGAGTTACTAAAGTCATGAATTTAGTATAATATTGGGAGACAAAATCTTGTTGTTGGAGCTTGAACAAATGAGCCCGAGGACAATTGAACATTGATGGGCCAAATTGGGTCTCTACGGCTTAGGCCAGAGCAGCCCATGTAAGAATTTGGCTAGCTTTTTGTAGCATTTGATACCATGGAACAACAACATTCTTCATATGTACAACCGTGATTAATAAGCGTTGAGTCAGATGTCTTATAATAAGAGAAGAATTGTTCAATATGAAAAAATCAATTAAGGGGTTCAGTGTTGTCAAATCGAGGAAAATCTAACTTAACTTGAAGAGTGTGGATTGACGAAGAAGGAGGTAGTCTAATGGCAAAAATGAAAAACAATATAGAGTAAGTCATGGAGTCGACAATCTTGGTAAAAGACTCAAAGGTAGCATCAATATGATCAAAACAAACTATATACGAAGCATCACGCTAAACAACTGCATTGAAAAGATGTTTCACATCATTGGTAAGTTTACGAGTGTTTTTTGCTATCCAAAATGCAATGAAAACTTCAATTATTATGAACCCTAAAAATTAAAGATAGCATATAAGAAAAAGAGGATTGTATTAAGTCAAGTGAGTATCAATATAATCAATATTCCATTATTTCAAGAAAAGTGACTAAACAAAAATAGAAGAAAAATCTATAAGAAGGAAAAAAGGATTTCATGACAAAGTTCACTTCTCTCCTACTATCCGCTTTTTCTTTTATTTCCTCATTTTTAATCACTTGGGTTGCATTCTTTACCCTATTTTCCTTATTATTCAAATTTAATGTCATTTGTCCATCTTGCTGCATGTGACAAATACCTAAATAAATGAATGGAGTAGCACCTCTTCCAAAACCAAATAAGCTTGAGTCAATTGTTAAAAACCCAGGTAGTATTTCTCGTAAAGAACTTGCATATATATAAGTGAACATGGGGTAAAAGATTATTCAAACTATGTAGGCTCTTCCTTATTCTACAAAAGATCATCAGCAACAAGAAGAAGTAAAGGAAGTGTAACAATGGCTAAAAGTGAACTGAACATGGTGGAGAATGATTGGGATGAGGATGAATGATGGTGCAGGTTGGTGATTATGTTGTTAAGCACTAATGAAAAAAACATAAAATTTAGACCCATAGGAGAACAGTGAGCATAAGGCACCACACTAATTAGATCTCACAGGCCATGACAAAGAGTATAACGCAAGTTTTCTATTAGCTGGACCTTATCATTACATTTTATCTTTTTCTACTGCTGTTCTCTGTTGGCCACCACTTCTAACCATTACAACTTTAATATTTTACGTTGAAAAAAAAATTAGGATTCATTAAAATCAAACAAATGCAAGTATAAAATAAAAAATCTATGACAAAATATTAAAAATCAATTTTTTATATTGAATTTTTTAAAATTCATTTGATTTTTGGTTTAAACCAAACTAAAGTTATAATATATAATACTAAAATTAAATATAAAATAATATTTATCATAAGTATGTTAATTTTTTATAATTTATGATATGTATTAATATTTTTAAATTAATATAAAAATAAATTGAAACTATAAATATTATAATTAATTTTACATGATATTTTAATAATATACCTTTTTATTGAATAAATATTTATTATAATATATTTAATATTTTTTTAATAAAAAATTATAAAAATAATTCAAATCAATTTAAAAATATTGGTCCGATTTGGTTTAAATATTTTAAACAAATAAACCAATATTTTATGTTTGATTCAGTTAACTGATAAAAACATTTTTTGTTAAATATTATTATTATTTCTTAGAAAAAAAATACACTTAAAATTGTGTAATTTTTTTATAAAAAAATTACATCAAATAAAATTATTACGATTTTTTATGTATATTTTATAAGATTAAATATATATATATATATATATATATATATATATATATATATATATATATATATATATATATATATATATATATTACTGGATTCATCCAAACTTTCAAAAGCTATGACATGATAGCTCCATCTGTCATAGTGGCAGAAAATAAAAAGACTAATAAAAAAAATTAACAAAATCTTTTACGTAATAAAAAAATAATATACAGATAAATAGAGACATAAACATTAATTCCCCCTACCTCGGAGTTAACCTCCTTACATTCACAAACCCAACTCAAAAACAATTTAAAAAAAATTATTATAATTACACAAAAAGAGAATTTGACAGTTGAATTGAAATCGAAACCTTAAATTAACGAAAGAGAACGACGGAGGTTAAGATCTTGTTTGGACAACGTCTACACTAGCGCCGCAAGATAAGAACCTGCGGAAAATCCTCAACAAAGCAGCGCGGGAAATTTCCCTCATTTTCCTCCAAACCAAACACTTCCTTCTCCTTGTAAACCCACTTTTCTTGTGAGACCTTCCCTTCACTCTGTCCTTAACTTTTCCGAAACATTTCTGGGTTTTCTCCGACACCGTCTCTTTCCTCGAAAACTTGTAGCTTCGTAGGTACATCTGTCTGCACGAGATGCTATCCACCACCCTCGCGTGCCCGCACACGTGCGAGCCCCTTCTACGCACAAACTCCGCGTCCGATTCCGGCCACTTGTAGAGATTCAAGTACGTCGCACGCACCGTCACACATGGGTCACGTGCGTCGCTTACACAGTTTGATATGCACACAGAACTCATCTTCTCTTTCCTTTTCAATTTCTCTCTGCAATTGTGTATCGAAAATGAAAAGAATAAAAGGGTTGGTTGAAGGTGAAGTGTGTGGGGGAAGAGGGGTAATTAATTTATAGTGGGTTAATTTTGTCATGTGTTATGATTTGTAATCACTGTGTTTTGTGAATGAATCGCATTAATTGAATGTGTTAAAGAGAGTTTGTGGTGTTAGGCGTGGGTTAGATGGCCTAAAGAAAATTCCTTCACTTATTAAAAATTGCATCTTGACCAATTTTCTCTAATTTCTTATCAGAAAAAGAAACTATATTTTGTAAAAATTCAATTTTTTTAAAATGGAAAGAATAATGATTTGAAGTATCAGAAAGACGATGATGGATTGGGTTGGGTGTAGGGTGGCAAAATTACAGGAACCGGAGTGGAGTAATCATGTTTTTCTTTGTCTTATATATTTTTTATTTTGGTACTTTGTTGCTTCTCTCTCAGCATTTCATGATGTGACATCATTGGTCTTCTTGTGTTATAGTTAAATTCATTAGAGCATGGTTCTTTTGTTAAATTTTTTTATAGAAAAAGAAAATAAGTTTTTATTATTTATAATTTTATTTTATTTTAAATTTAATATAACTATTATTATTATTATTGTTATTATTAATTATTTATGAATTAAAGATCGCGTTCTTTTTTTAACTTCCGTTCCTAAATATACAACCATTCTTATAAATTGATGTAAAAAAATTACAAAAATTAAAATTTTATTAAAATACACTGTTTCTGTTTTAAAATATTATATTTAAGATTGAGTTATTCAAATAAAACAAGTATTAATTTTATTATTTTTATTAAATTTGTTAATTTTTTACTAATATTTTTTTCATCAAAATCGTTCATTTTTAAAGAAATTAATAACATGAATTATTTAAAAATTGATCAAAATTATTTATTTAAGTAACTACTTTCTAGTTTCAATCAAAATTTAAGTAATTCAGAGATTCAAAATAAATTATTTTTTAAGTTCTAAACAAATTTTACTAGTAATTTTTGAAAAATAACTTGTTATTCTCTCTAGAAATCAACAAATATAATTAAAAAGATAAAGATATAATTAATAAAAGGATAATCAATAAAAAATATATGATTAAATATATATTTCAAAGCAAAATTTTCAAAACAAAATTTGAGATTACTAAATATGATATATATAATAAATTAAGCACAGGGATGATTGATGGATATTTGTACTCACTAAAGTAATTAACCTCTTAATCGAATAAATTCTTTATAAGGTCTCAATTAAATATATATATATATAATAAATCAATTAAATTATTTACATAAATGTTGATTAAGGTCTTACCTAATTTATGTTTATAAATTTTTAGAATTAAAAGAAAAAAGGTCTTTAATTTTTCCCATTTAAAGGGGATTGGAAACTTCTAATGCAACTAAATTATAAAGCAAAATAGATTATTAAACAAACCTCTCTTGGTCTTAATCTAGGTTTAAAGGCATTTATTAGGTGGAGAAGATATCATATTGCCCAGCAAGAAGATGTTTAAGTTTTGGACCATTTCAAAGTCATCCAAAGGGACCTGACCCTAAAAGAATATCATTTCCAAATCACAACCACATTTGTTACCTCTATTGTCATCTAAGAATAATAATTTCCGTATTTCAATTTTAATTTAAATTGATATATGAAGGTTTTTCATTAATTTTTTTATTGATATTTTCAAGGGTTAATAATAGGAAAATTTGTAATGATAGAACAGGAATTAGATACAGTATCATAAATAATATATTTTAAAAAAATTATTTAAATAGAGTCTTTCAAAATTTATTTAACGAACTAAATTTATTTATTGTTCATACACAAATTTTAATAAGAAAAATTAAATTGGTTTGACATATATAACTAGGTTTTTCATTCTTTTTTTTCTCTCATTCTGTTTATTCTTTAATTAAAATTTGATAAGATGAGTCTTTATTATTATTAAAAATATATATTTAAATAATTCAGAAATACTATGATTTAATATATTATATAAGAAAAATTATATGATAAATTTGAGATATTATATTATTAAAAACTTATTTATTTTAAAGTATTTTTTAATAAATAATTCTTTTAAAATACTTAATTATCAAAACTCAACCTAATTATAGATTAAAATATTAAATAAAAATACATTTAAATTATAAATATTTTATATTTTTAATTAAATGAATAATTATTTATTATAATTAAATAATTTAAAATTATTTATTTACTGTCATCATAAATAAAATTATTTACTATTAAAATTGAATAAAACTATTTATTATTATCATAATTTTAAATATTTAACTAATATTTGTTAGTTTTAATGTTGTTTTTAAAATATTTGTTTTAACATATTTTTATTAAATTTTAATATAGTAGTTTAATTAGGAGAATAAGTAGAGAAGAGAAAGAGAAAAATAAGAGAAATAAAATAAAAAAGAGAAAGGTGAAAAGTAAACGAAAAAAATGAAAAAAAAATTATAAGAAAACAGAGAAAAACTATGTATAAACAGTACAATTCTATTTAGATAAATAAATTTATATAAAATTTATGTAATTAAATTTTCTTTTAAAATATATTATTTTTATATTCATTCACAGTATAAAAAAGATATGAAATTATCTCAACTCAATTTTAAGATATTAAATTTTAGATTTTTTCCAAAATTAATTAATTTTTCTATTTCAATCAAATATAAGATTTCAAACTCAATCATTTTTTCTTATAATTATGTTTAAGTTGAAATTATCTCAACTCAATTTTAAGATATTAAATTTTAGATTTTTTCCAAAATTAGTTAATTTTTCTATTTCAATCAAATATAAGATTTCGAAGTCAATCATTTTTTCTTAAAATTATGTTTGTTTATCTTAAAGTAGACAAACATAACTTAATTAAGAATTTTGCTAGTTACGTATAACTTTTTTTTTACTGTAATTTTTTTTAACTTGTTAAAGTAAGGGTAACTCATATAATCACAAAAGATCAAACTGCAAAAACTTGAATCAAACTAAGACAATTTTTTATTCAATTTGTTTAACATATGAGTAAATAGGTACTAACTAATAGGCTTCAAACTAGCTCATTTTATTAAAATCTAATTATAATTTAAAAAATATTAAAATAAATTTATTTGACTAAAACATAGATATTCTTAAGCATGTATAAAATCACCATATGTAAAAATTAATATTAATTTATTAATGTGTCTTACATTTTATAAATACATTTTTTTTATTTTCTTAGATTTAAAATACATAGAATTGTTCTTTTTTTCTTTTAACTTGTTTCTTAGACTTAGAATAAATAGAATGCTATTACTTTATTAATTTTTTAAGAAATATAAAAGGTTATTAATTAATTAATATTATCTAAAAATAGGATTTTTTTTATTAATAATTTTTAAAATAAATGATTATTTTAAATTATTACATTATAAAAAAATGAATATATAAATCAAAATAAATATCTATCTTTTAAATTAAAATTTGGGGCCTATAAATTTCTTCGACTCGTGTCGTGCACAGGCCTCGTTTGGGATTTAAGAGGCACCGTTTAGCGCCTTATCATGTCTCCCGCCATCACCACTCTAACACCGCCGTTATCCCTCGCCGTCACTTCGGCAGCGCGTCCTTCGCGCAAGACGGCGACGGTTAAAACCGACAAAAAACAAAGGCAAACCAGCCTCGGTTTCGGCGGCGACAAGAAGGAAACAAAGTGGCACTGCGTGGAGGGTTGTGGGGCATGCTGTAAGCTCCAAAAGGGTCCTTCTTTTCCCTCTCCTGAAGAAATTTTCGACGACCCTTCTGACGTTCAGGTCCATTTTCTATTTCTTCACTTTTGTTTGTCAAAAAAAAAAAATAAAAAAAATCAAATTAACATTAACATTAACATGTACTGTTTTATGGTAGTATTGAATTCAGATTCTTTAACCATGTGCTTGCATTTGAGTCTTGTAGATGAAAAAAAGTAAATGAGAGAAGAAATTTCACTAAAGGGACTGGTTAGGTTCCATCGTAGAGATTTTGCTAGATACAACATGTTTCTAAAATATTTCTGTCACTCCGTGAATTGAGCTATGAGCATGTCGTTTATTATATGTATTGATTCATTTGTGTTACTGTGATGAATTTCAGCTGTACAAAAGCTTGATAGGACCAGATGGATGGTGTATTCATTATGAGAAGACTACTCGGAAATGTTCCATTTACCCTGGTCTGCTCATTGTGCATCTCACTGTTGATGTTTGAATCTCAATTACTTCATTAATGGGAATGTTTGGTTTAGATTTTAACTTGTCACTCCTTTGTTATTCTTCAGATCGTCCGTATTTTTGCCGTGTGGAGCCAGAGGTGTTTAAATCTTTGTTTGGAGTTAAAGAGAAGAATTTCCACAAGGAATCCTGCAGGTCCACCTTTCTCACTTGCTTTTTAATTATGTTTTTCAGAAAGAATCAAACTATAAGATTATAAGGGAATTATCTTGACCTATAATCATAAATGGATGGTTAAAATTGATGAAAGTAAAATAATCTCTGCCATTCAAAATTGAATGGAGTTATAAGATTAACTTGTTTCACGTGCTCTCTTGATACTTCCCTCCACCTAGTTCAACGTCTAATCCCTAGTGGCCTTAACATAAGCAATGTAATGGGGAAAGGAACTCGTGAATTTTGTGAGATTGGAAGAATTCTAAGGGGTGTACGAGGGAGTGAGACTCGGTTTTTGGCCCCACGATGAGTCGCAATAGTTCTTCTAGGAACGAGAATATCCCTATTTCATGCTTGTTATGATGATATTGTTAGGCTCAATTCGTATATCTAAGGTATTATTCGTTTTAGAACTATAGTCCATTACAGTTTTATCCTTAAAAGACGTTTCGGTGGATTAAAAGAAGAGAACGTATATAAACTACCATTGACTTCAATTATTAAATGACGTGCAACTCATGAGTGTGAAACAAAGCCATTACAAGATGTTGGTGCCTTTAGATTCTATTTTCATTCTTCAAGCTGGAATTTGTTGCTACTTCATGTGAAGATTTGTTGATATTTACAAGGAGGTTCTGTAGTATCTCTCGTTGGAATGCATAGTTAGTTGTATATGCTAAGAAAGAAAAGCAAGTTCATGTACAATATTAATGAAGTGAACAATTGTCAACCTTTGCCTTTATTTGGTTGGGCAGTTGTGGTAGGTTAGAGCTTTTGAAATGATGCTAGTAGTATGCCATGGTGGATTCATTAGAACTTTGCAGTATGGTGCACACGAACTTGAGGCCCATCTTCCATTGGAGGAGTGACTTTGGTAGATGCTTGAACCTGAGGTATAAATAAATCACTCTTCACTCCTCACAATGGAGAAGAGGTGTTCATACTCTGTCAACACTAGCAAATGTACATGCTGAATTTTTCTGAAGCAGAACTATTATTTCAAATTTTGTTACTTTGCCCCATATTTTTGTGTTGACTTTGACACAACTTATACTCTGAAAATATTGTAAACAACAGGAAAAATTTAATAAGCAGACATTTTCCTTGAAGGCTGAAGCTATTTTTCTTGAATCAAAGGACAAGTGTTTCTTATTCTTATTCAATCTTCTTTCTTTCTTGCAGTTTCTGCAGGGACACAATTAAGGCTATTTACGGTCCCAATTCAAATGAGCTTTATAATTTCAACAGCTCAATAAGGAACTCTTCTAGTTAGAATTTATGGGCTTTGGTTTCTTAATTGCTTAAGGTTATCATCTTCTCTTGTCCAGTAATTATTATGCTGGTGGGAGTTTCTTGTTTATAACTTTTATATATGATTTTTTCAACTGATGCACATGTACTAACTGAATCTACAAAGTGGAACCTAAATAGCTATAGATAACGGACTAATGGGTTATTAGTGTATGCTCTTTTTTGGGAATTATTGATTATTGCCTTATATCTTATTTTGGGCCAACTTAAAGACCCTAATTAGTTAAACCAACTATTTGTTCTCTTGTTGGTTTTTCACTGCACAACATTAAGTTCCATATAATATTTCTGATGGGTGTGTGGTTAAATTTTCCCTTAAGCTTGAGTAAGAACTCTTTATTACATTGACATTTGACTGAATGTGGATCATATACTGAATGGAATATTTGTGACAGCAGGCTTAACCCCCCCAGCCTTGCATCTTGTCTAGGATGGGATGTTTTCTTCCCACAATTAATGTGTGTAATTGTCATCAATTTTCAGTCCTAAAAATGTTGTGAAACCCAACACCTTTCCAGCACTCTGCTATGAAACTCAACTCCTATTGAAGCATGGTTTCTATGTTGGTGTTCATAGTCTGGCAAACAAAAATTTTCATGTTCCTCTTAGAGCACTATGTTTAGACTTGCTTACTTTGATTATCATGGTTGAGGTCTCTTATGCCACCTTTTCTACTTCTCCTCTGGTTAAAATGGAGCAACAAAAGCAGGTTCTCAATTCAAAAGCACCATCTGCGGTTCTCAATTGCCAAATTCTAAGCACTTGGAAATATGTGCTTAGATGAATGGCTAATAAATAAATAGAAGTTTGACATTATTTGAATGGTTGAATTTGATTATTCCATTGTTTATAGAATAAGTGAGGCCCTAGGTTCGAAACATCATGTTGTTTGGATTTTTGCTAGTTTATAACATTTTGTAGATGATAAAAGTAAGGTATTTCATATATTTCATCAATTAATTCATATCCATTATTCAATAAAACCTGGGATCCTTCCGTCTGGGGATAAGTATGTAAATTAATAGTTTCAAAACAAAAAAATCTTCTCATTCGTAAAATAATTTATGCCTTCTTACTTAGAGCACACATACCAAGCTGGTGGATGCTGTTACTACTAGAGTATATCTCATCAATAGAACGTCAAAGTCCCTGACTTTGAAACTTCGCCACAAACTTTATTTACATTTGTGTCATTACCTATTGTCCAAATGCTTCCACCACAAGTGTTAAGTGTTTGTGATATGAATCACAAAGGGTGATTTAGGATCTTTTAAGGTGGAAGGAAAGAATCACTCTTCCCAAGGAAGACAACATACAAAGGATGTGAAAGTCCTTTGATACAGTCAAATATTCTTGAATCACTCAAGAACTTAGGAGAATCACCCTCACTAAGATAAAAGAGATAAACTCTAATATTTCTAACAATAAACTCAACTTGTTATGTCTGATAAAAAATGGTTCAGCTTATAAAGAAGCTTTGTCATCAGAGTTACAAATATTCATTAAAGGAAAATAAATGCTAATAATGATTTATTAACCTAGGAATTGAAAACTACTTAATGATTAATTGTAACTGAAATTGTGGCATCCAAAAGTCAATCAGCTATGCACCCTCTTGGTCTCCCAAAGATTGATAACTAAATTTCCCTTATTACAACTTGCAATAAAACTAAACTAAAGTCCATTAATTGATTAATCCAAAACACAATTTGGTCAATCAACAATACTTGTTGAAGAATTTCATTTGCTTCCCTTGCTCTAGCCCTTATCATAGGTCATGTTCACATCGTTCTCTCCCTCTTGAAAAGGATTTGTCCTCAAATTGGATTCGTCATCTACATTAAAAAAAGATAAGTCTGACAAATTAAATGTAGAACAAACATTATACTCACTTTTTATGGTTAAATAGCTCTGTTTCACTTCAAGTGTTTCGCTCTTTTTTTTTTTTTTTTTTCTCTTTTCTTGAAGAAAATTTTCTCATTTTCTTTTTATCCTCCTCTGCCATCAATTTGATGTTCAAACCTTTAAACCGGGGCTCTGATACCAACTGATATGAATCACAAGGGGTGATTTAGGATCTTTAAGGTTAGAACCTTGTAGAAAATTTAGTAATTTAGTGATAAGGTGGAAGGAAAGAATCACTCTTCCCAAGGAAGACAACACACAAAGGATGTGAAAGTCCTTTGATACAGCCAAATATTCTTGAATCACTCAAGAACTTAGGAGAATCACTCTCACTAAGATAAAAGAGATAAACTCTAATATTTCTAAAAATAAACTCAACTTGTTATGTCTGATAAAAAATGGTTCAGCTTATAAAGAAGTTTTGTCATCAAAGTTACAAATATTCATTAAAGGAAAATAAATGCTAATAATGATTTATTAACTTAGGAATTGAAAATTACTTAATGATTGATTGTAACTGAAATTGTGGCATCCAAAAGTCAATCAGCTATGCACCCTCTTGGTCTCCCAAAGACTGATAACTAAATTTTCAATTGGGCCCTTATTACAACTTGCAATCAAACTAAACTAAAGTCCATTAATTGATTAATCCAAAACACAATTTGGTCAATAAACAGTACTTGTTGAATAACTTCATTTGCTTCCCTTGCTCTAGTCCTTATCATAGGTCATGTTCACATCATTCTCTCCCTCTTGAAAATGATTTGTTCTCAAATCGGATTCGTCATCTACATTAAAAAAAGATAAGTCTGACAAATTAAATGTAGAACAAACATTATACTCACTTTTTATGGTTAAATAGCTCTGTTTCACTTCAAGTGTTTCACTATTCTTCTTTTTTTCTCTCTTTTCTTGAAGAAAATTTTCTCATTTTCTTTTTATCTTCCTCTGCCATCAATTTGATGTTCAAACCTTTAAACCGGGGCTCTAATACCAACTGATATGAATCACAAGGGGTGATTTAGGATCGGTTAGAACCTTGTAGAAAATTTAGTAATTTAGTGATAAGGTGGAAGGAAAGAATCACTCTTCCCAAGGAAGACAACACACAAAGGATGTGAAAGTCCTTTGATACAGCCAAATATTCTTGAATCACTCAAGAATTTAGGAGAATCACTCTCACTAAGATAAAAGAGATAAACTCTAATATTTCTAAAAATAAACTCAACTTGTTATGTATGATAAAAAATGGTTCAGCTTATAAAGAAGTTTTGCCATCAGAGTTACAAATATTCATTAAAGGAAAATAAATGCTAATAATGATTTATTAACCTAGGAATTGAAAACTACTTAATGATTGATTGTAACTGAAATTGTGGCATCTAAAAGTCAATCAGTTATGCACCCTCTTGGTCTCCCAAAGACTGATATCTAAATTTTCAATTGGGCCCTTATTACAACTTGCAATAAAACTAAACTAAATTCCATTAATTGATTAATCCAAAACACAATTTAGTCAATAAATAATACTTGTTGAAGAGCTTCATTTGCTTCCCTTGCTCTAACCCTTATCATAGGTCATGTTCACATCATTCTCTCCCTCTTGAAAAGGATTTGTTCTCAAATCGGATTCGTCGTCTACATTAAAAAAAGATAAGTCTGACAAATTAAATGTAGAACAAACATTATACTCACTTTTTATGGTTAAATAACTCTGTTTCACTTCAAGTGTTTCGCTCTTTATCTTTTTTTCTCTCTTTTCTTGAAGAAAATTTTCTCATTTTCTTTTTATCCTCCTCTGCCATCAATTTGATGTTCAAACCTTTAAACCAGGGCTTTGATACCAACTGATATGAATCACAAGGGGTGATTTAGGATCTTTAAGGTTAGAACCTTGTAGAAAATTTAGTAATTTAGTGATAAGGTGGAAGGAAAGAATCACTCTTCCGAAGGAAGACAACACACAAAGGATGTGAAAGTCCTTTGATACAACCAAATATTCTTGAATCACTCAAGAATTTAGGAGAATCACTCTCATTAAGATAAAAAAGATAAACTCTAATATTTCTAAAAATAAACTCAACTTGTTATGTCTGATAAAAAATGGTTCAACTTATAAAGAAGTTTTGTCATCAGAGTTACAAATATTCATTAAAGGAAAATAAATACTAATAATGATTTATTAACCTAGGAATTGAAAACTACTTAATGATTGATTGTAAGTGAAATTGTGGCATCCAAAAGTCAATCAGCTATGCACCCTCTTGGTCTCCCAAAGACTGATAACTAAATTTTCAATTGGGCCCTTATTACAACTTGCAATAAAACTAAACTAAAGTCCATTAATTGATTAATCCAAAACACAATTTGGTCAATCAACAATACTTGTTGAAGAGCTTCATTTGTTTCCTCGCTTCTAGCACTTATCACAGGTCATGTTCACATCATTTTGGATGCGTTGCATTTGTCAATCTACACAATAACCAACAAATAAAACTTGATTTTTGTGTTTTTGTTTTTTGAGTAATTGAATTCATTAAAAAAAAAAATATTGTTGTTATGACCCTATTAGTTGTCACACCTATGTCAACATGAATGTTATATTCCTTGAGTCCGACACATATGACTTCTCTTCTCCGAAATACCATTGGTTAGATAAATGTATTCATATGGCGGATGTATTAGATATGAACGTATTAATAACAAATTGATATAAAAAAATTATAATGTATTACTAAGGTAAATATTTTATTCAAAATTCTAATGTATATAACCCTGAATATGAGCTACCTTATAGATACAATCGGGATAAACTACCAAAAGTATATTTACCGCAAACGATATTTATACCAAGCACTATTTGCGCCTCAAGAAGTTAATTGATGGATCTTTTCATGAAGTATAAAACAAGAAAAGGAGAATTGAATTACATTTGGGTGTAACTTTTTTATAATGTAAATTAAACATATGCAATAGATTTACGGCTGACTTTAAGTTAAGATAAGAAAAAAATCATCAAATGATAATTTATGCAATAGTTTTTAAAAAACGAATCCTTAACTAAAATTCAAGGTTAGAAAACTTAGATTAAGGCCAAAAAATAAATACAACTATTTTTATTAAAAATTATTTTTACGCGGAACTATGTCCAGTTGTTTTAAAATCAATACGCTTAAAGATTTTTGGACGTGCAACTGTGTGTGATAGGAACTTAGGAAGGGTTAGAGTCAAACACAAACTCTGAAACGCGCAAGAATCCTAATGCCAATAAAAATAATGGTCATTCATAACCTGTTTATTTGTTTTCCTTTTTTGTTTACACTAGATTCCTGAGCAAACCTAAAAGATGAAGTACAACATTTATTTAGTTTGCTTCTGTTACTACTAGATTGCTGAACAAACCTAAAATACAAAGTTCAACATTTATTTATTTTGCCTCTGTTACTACTAGATTGCTGAAGCAAACCTAAAATATGAAGTAAAACATAGCCCTATGTACAGGTGGATGGACATTGGCACCTTTCTTTCCACCTTGATGAATATCTATCTCCTATGGATCGTGATAAATGCCTACCAAACCAGAACAAAATATTATTTTGTCGTTTTGGCAAAAAAAAAAAAAATTGAGTTTTGACGTATACCGTGAACGATGAATTTTGTTTACTATCGTTTTCATATTACAGTACCCAGACCCAGCTCATCCCCAATGTCATCGTCATCTTCAAATAACTTCAAAAGCCGAGCCTGGTCTTGTTCCCTTATCTTCTTTTGCCAAAACTTATATGCACCCACCACTCCTAGACTCAGTATAATTGAAACCAAAGCACTCAACAAAACCACAACGGCTATATGCATTCCTTTTCCATCATCATGCTCATCAACTACAGAACATGAAGACAATTAGTTTTGTTAACATATAAAATACACTAAAGGTAAGCAAGTAAATGTGTAACAATGCAAGAATACAAAGTAAATAAAATTTAAGTGCTCTACATGTATAAAAGTTTGGGAGAGGGGGAGGGGAGGTTGTGGATATTTCTCTCCTTGAGATATAAAATAACTTAAAGAAGAAATCCTGAAAGATTCGTTCAGAAATGCAAGGAAGTGGAACAAACTAAATTCTGGCATACCAAGAATTCCACAGGTTGACAGGTTAATAAAGATTCAAGATTAAAAATAAAATATTTATGACAAAAAAAACATTTATTTACAAAAAAAAATGCTATGGTTAAATCTAAAAGGTGTTAATCCTGCTAGATTTGTTATCATTAGTTACTATTTAGCTCATATAAGTTTTGTAGTTCAATGCTATTCTGACTATTGTTTAGCTAACTTACGTTTAGAACAAAACGGGGGAAATGCATTTAGTATAACTAATTCTTCAATTCAAATGATTGGATACCAAGATGATCCTTCAATTCATCCATACACCAGACAGATGGATATATTTTTTTCTTATTTTCTCTCTATGTATGATGCTGAATAAGAATAGAAAAGCCATTTGACCAAAAAAATCCATAAGTTGGTGGCCACATTAACAAATTTGTTGACAACAGGTTCTAGAATTATATTTTTTGCAGCTTTTCACAACAGAGGGGGTGTTTACATAGAAAACACAAAACACCGAAGATAAACAGAACAATTTAGTTTTTTATTATTATTTGTTTGTTTACAATCTGGAGTAAAAGGTTATTGAATTTAAGTCATCTTTTATTTTTTAATTTAAATACCCAAGTTATCCATGGTGAAGAAATCCAATACGATTGCAATAAACACTAGAACTAGAAATAAGCAATAAACACTAGAACTAGAGATCAAAAGAATCATTCATAAAATCTGAAATGATATGTTTTTAATAAATATAAACTTCAGCAATTACATCTCCTAGGACAACTACTTTTTTTTTTTAAATAGCTAGTGGACATATACTGTCAAATGGCACGAACGTGGTATATTGAAGGAAAAGGTTGCAAGTACTCACCACTGGCAAGTGATAAGCACTCTGAGCACAGAAAAGTAGCATTGAATTCCTTTTCCTTGAACCGAATATATTCACCATTGGGTGCAGTAAAGTCAGATGGACAAAACTCCCATTCGTCAAATACATCATCCGAAGTAATGCTGTCCTCCTCATAGAATCCACACCGCTTGCATTTTTTACTTGAAAAGTTACTTAAAGGCTGAGAGTACAAGCAAAATCCAAGTATTAGCCAAAACGGTAACACATGCATCTCAAGTGTGAAGACACTTGGAATATAATGACTAAAATTAAGGTTTCTAAGCAAAGAAATTCCTCGAAGTTCAAAAATTAATCCAGGAATTGTAGTCAACATCAAAATGACACCGCATTTGCATTGCTGCATCTAAATTTTCCATTTCCGAGACTCAAGGTCAAAGACAGAGTCCCTTTGAAGCACAAATATACAATCAGTATGTAGTTAGGAACTTATTATGCAGTCGACTGTCGAATGTTCATAATTACTTGGTCAAATAAGCAAGGGATCAAAACTTCCATCGTATTACATGTTGTCCCAATTCCATATAGGTGTATATTTGAATTCACGTTACATCATTCAAAATCATGTTAAAACCGGTTAAGGTGATTTTCAGTGAATGTTCACGTGCTTCGTTCCACATTGAAGAATTGATTCTAAATCTAAAACTAATTCTGAGTTGAAGTAGCCTTGGGTAAATATAAAAGAAGTTATACCGAGTTTTACTACTTAATTGCTTTGAAAATAAAAACATACAAGCACCAATCACTTCATTTCAAAATTACTTCACTTCATTTTGCCAATGCTATCCGATTTCAGATGGTCCGAGTAAACCAAATTTAACTATGTAGAGATATGGCATCACTTGATTTACTTCTAATGCATTCGTGATTGATATAAAACATACATAAAAATAATAAAAAGAAAATTTAGACATAAAAGTAGTTAATTGAAATCCAAAAGTAGAACAAAAACTGTAAAAGTAACCTGCCAAGATTCTTCACCGTTGAAAGCATACAAGGCATTTGATTTCTTGACATCTGGAAGCACGGTCTTGTTTTCCCCTTTGCACAGGAAATACACAGTTGTAGTGACTTTCAGCCACTCGTGCGTTTTAAAAACCTCAATTGATTTCAGCGACACAACAGCACAGGACGTCAATCCTGCGCAACAGAAAGCAACATAGCACAACCATTGATACAAATGCACAACTAACTTAATTTCTCGTTGAATTTAAAGAATTCCACATATATCTATCGGAAAAGCATTGTAGTTATAAAAAATCTCCCGAACTGAATAATCACAAGCTTTATGAACGAAAATGTTTGGTCAATAAACTCACTGTCTGTGCAGTTGACAGATTATGAATCAATGATGAAAAAGAGAAGCAGGTACTTCGGGGGAGAAATTTTACCTGGAAAACAAGCGAAGAATATTGAAGAGATGAAAAGGAGAAGAAGAACCCTAGAATTGGGGTTCAACATGGCGAGAAGTGGAATGCAAGAAAATGGTTATTCCTGGTCGATATGAAGTGCGGGAGACTGACCGGGTCGCGGTGTGATTGGTTGGCGTCTCGTCTGGTCTACGCAACGTGCGCATTACGCACCTGTCAACGCAATCGGAAGAAAACGATGAAGCTGCCACGTCACTGCCGGCGACCGCAGGAATTGACTTCAGCCCTGTATTCATAGTGCGACCAGTGGCTTCTCCTCGACTTGTCCGGTCGAATCAGTTAAGCGGATTTCGAAGCGGGAACAGTTTATTAATAATTTATTACTCTATTTGTTTCTTAATAAATGTTGATTAAGATTTAATTACATAAAAAATATAAAATCTTCATAATTTATAATAAACTTATTAATTTTTTTAATAATATTTTATCATTCTAATTTTTTTTTCCGTTTTACAATTATTCACAAAACTCATTATTTAAATATAATAGAAAAAGAAAAAGAAAAAATATTATTAATATAATTTTAAACTTTTAAATGTTATTATTTTAACTTTTGCATTATTAACGAAGCCATAAACAAGAAATATAAATCAAGATAAAAATCATATAGGAACAAGAAAATTTCTCTGCAGTTGCTTTAACAATTTATTTCAATAACAGCAGATAAACAGCGCATTATTTAAAAAAAGAAAATATTTTTTCTAGAAATTCTTAAATGAAAAATTGTTGACAAAAGAAAAAGAAAAACAAAAATTGAATAACATTTTGACTATTCATATGGACTTTCAACGGTGTGTGGGGACGCGCAGAAAACACGGGAATGCAATTAAATGCCCTATCTATTCGGTGCTACAAAATCAAGAATAGCAATTGGTGAACATATTAAACCCTTGATACCAAATTTCTTCCGTTCTAGCCGTTGCTCTCGGAACGCGGGAGCGGCTATTCCACAATGCCTTCCTTACTGATCTGCATCGTCCTCCTTCTCGCCCCCACCATCTCCGCCCACAACCGCTTCGATGCGAGAAGCTACTTCGGTTACGTCGCCGAGAACAACGACACGACGTTCACGAACAAAACGTTGCTGGCGGAGGAGTTCCTGCACGCTCACAACTGGGTGAGGAATCAGTACCAACTTCCCGCGTTCGAGTGGGACGAGAAACTGGCGAGCTACTCGCGTTCGTACCTCATGGAGCGCTACGAGGATTGCTTGCTCGTCCACTCCAACTCCATGTACGGCGAGAACATCTTCTGGGGCAAGATGCGCTACTGGACCCCCTCCGACGCCACCTACTACTGGTACCAGGAAAAGCAGTGGTACGATTTCAAAACTCTCACGTGCGCCCCGCCGCCAAAAGCCTGCGGCCACTTCACCCAGGTCGTCTGGCGAGACTCCCACCGCATCGGATGCGCGCTTCAGAATTGCCAGGACCCCTCCATGGGCATGCTCATCGCCTGCGAGTACGATCCCGCTGGTAACTACGAAAACGAAAACCCTTTGCAATCACACAAGTGACCATTGTCACAATCACAATTACAATATCACCACCAACATGACATCCTTCTAACCCTAATCATGTTTGTAGTTAATTGCATTACACTCTCACACATGTAGTTCTGTTAATTTCTGTTTAAATTAATTGTGAGACGAGGATGTCAACCCGCTTGACTGATTCCCATGTAAAACAATGATCCACCATATGACTGATTCAATTGTGGTTTAACCATGTCAATGTAGAATTCCCGTGAGAACCAGATTTGTGTAGCTTTCTCATTAATCTTTATTGTCGTCTGTCAGATTGTAGTATATTAATTGTTAGCTTTGGTTGAACCGGGTTAAAGATTAGAAACTTTTTCTGCGTATTGGTTTCGAATCAGAATTGTATATCTTGCCTGATTTTAATTTCTCTGTTTCTTTACGGATTTTTCTATCTCCTCTGTTCTTTCAAACGTTGATTTTGAAAAGGATTATTCTGTTTTAATATATTAATACAATAAATTAGTTTATTTTATCACCAAATCTTGTGGATTTTTCTTGAACGATAGTTGTTGATCTTCCTCATCTGATGATTCTTCAATGTTATCCTTCTGGGTTGGTATAATTTGTATCCCCCTTCTTAAGAAAAAAATATATGATGAACAACAAATATGAAGATAAGAAAAAATGAATTATAGAAATGACAATATTTGTGAATTTTTGAGAGCAGTTCTTTGACGTTTAACTTGGTAGAATTACGTCATTTCTTTAAATAACAAAATGATTAGTTTTCATAAACGAATCAATATTTTAACACATTTCTAAAAAGTTGATTTTGAAATTAAGATCAATTCAAAACATTTTCAGAAAATAAAAGATTAAATCTATAAACTATTTTAAAGATAATATTATCTTTTTTATATAAGAATATGGAAGAAGAAAAGATTTCACGAAGATTATGCCCAACCAAAAATGACTTTTGGAAGTAGAAAGCCCATAAAATATTAATTGGGCCTGAGACCAAGCCTAAATTATCCTTTTTAGTTGTCAAATACTGAGCAACCATTGACGAATTCGAATTTCGAAAGTGCCTCGCTAAACAAATGAATGAGGATCCGTAACCTGGTGGCTCCCACCCTTCAATTTCAAACACAATCTGCCGTTACCGGCAACCTCCGACAACGGCTCTCCCGCCCCGGCGTCGACTTCTCCGCCTATGGCTCCTCGATTCAGCACTGCGCTGACCACCGCTTCCTTCGCCAGGGGAAGCAGCTCCATGCTCGCCTCATCCTGCTCTCCGTCACACCCGATAACTTCCTCGCCTCGAAACTCATACTCTTCTACTCCAAAACCAACCACGTCCGCGAAGCGCGCACGGTGTTCGACACGATTCCCCACAGAAATACCTTCACATGGAACGCTATGCTCCTTGGCTACTCCTTCAACGCAATGTTCCGCGACGCGCTCAATCTATTCGTGTCGTTCACCTCCTCCACAAACGCCAACGCCTCTCCCGATAACTTTACCATATCCTGCGTTTTGAAGGTGCTTGCGTCGTCGTTTTGTAGCCCCGAATTGGCCAAAGAGGTTCACTGTTTTGTTCTTCGTCGCTGGTTGGACTATGATATTTTTGTGCTCAACGCGTTGATAACGTGTTACTGCAGGTGCGACGAGGTTTGGCTTGCGCGGAATGTGTTCGACAGAATGTCCGTGAGAGACGCCGTGACATGGAACGCGATGATTGGTGGGTATTCTCAGAGAAGGTTCTACGATGAGTGTAAGAGGTTGTACTTGGAGATGTTGAAGGTTTCTGGAGTTGCACCCAATGCGGTTACGGCGATGAGTGTGATGCAGGCATGTGGACAGTCCATGGACCGTGCCTTTGGAAGGGAGGTTCACCGTCTGGTGAAGGAGAGTGGAATTGAGATTGATGTTTCGCTTTCTAATGCTGTGGTTGCCATGTATGCGAAATGTGGTAGTTTGGATTATGCAAGGGAGTTGTTTGAGGAAATGCGCGACAAGGATGAGGTTACTTATGGGGCGATTATTTCAGGGTACATGGATTACGGATTTGTGGATGAAGCCATGAGTATTTTTAGAGGGGTGGAGAACCCTGGATTGAATATGTGGAATGCTGTGATTTCTGGTATGGTTCAGAATAAAGAGTTTGTTGGGCTTTTTTATTTGGTGAGGCAAATGCAGGATTCTGGTTTGTGTCCCAATGCTGTCACACTCGCTAGTGTTCTTCCTTCGTTTTCGTACTTCTCGAACCTGCGTGGAGGGAAAGAGGTGCATGGTTATGCTACAAGGAGAGGTTATGAGGAAAATGTTTATGTGGCAACTTCTATTATAGATGCTTATGCAAAACTGGGTTATATTCATGGGGCACAAAGAGTTTTTGATCTTTCACAGAGTAGGTGCTTGATTATTTGGACATCTATTATATCTGCTTATGCAGCTCATGGTGATGCTGCTTTGGCACTTGCTTTCTATACTCGTATGCTAGATAAAGGAATTCAACCTGACCCCGTGACGTTAACTTCTGTATTAACAGCTTGTGCTCATTCCGGATTGGTTGATGAAGCTTGGGATATCTTTAATTCAATGCCTTCACAATTTGGCTTTCAACCCTTGGTAGAGCACTATGCTTGCATGGTGGGTGTTCTTAGTCGAGCTGGAAAGCTCTCAGAAGCAGCACAACTTATTTCTGAAATGCCAATTGAACCAAGTACTGAAGTTTGGGGTGCTCTGCTGCATGGGGCTTCTGTTTATGATGATATTGAAATGGGAAAGTTTGCTTGTGATCATTTGTTTGAGATTGAGCCTGAAAATACAGGGAATTACATTATTATGGCCAATTTATACTCACATGCTGGGAAATGGGAACAAGCTGGTGTGGTTAGGAAAAGAATGAAAGAAATTGGGTTACAGAAGGTCCGTGGAAGTAGCTGGATTGAAATGAGTGAAGGATTACTGAGTTTCATTGCCAAGGATTTGTCGAATGGAAGATCTGATGAGATGTATGCAGTGCTGAAAGGGTTGCTTGGTTTGATGAGAGAAGAAGGATATGTTTTACTGGAAGAGTTAGACTACGAGAATGTTTAGTTAACAACTGCATGTGATAACTTGTACTGAAATGATAATTCACCTCTTGTATAGCCAGAGAAAAAAGAGACCATTGAACTTCTGAGATGATCAAACTAGATAACACCTAAAGCAGAATATTCTGCAAAAATATCAAGCTTTACTGGGTGCATTAGATTAGGAATTGACTCCCGTTTTTATCAAGCTTTTTTTACTGGGTACAGTAAAATTATGCCTGCTCTATTATTGATTTTTCACTTAAGATAGTCTAGCCTAGAAGCACATGACTCCACGGACTACTTGATCATTTTTCTTTTGGGTGAAGAATACATATTTTATTTTACCCTTTGCTTTGTGGGTTTAGTTAAAATTGCTTTGTTTGATAAAGCAACTCTGATTTCCATCCATGTTGGCGTGACTTTTGTCGTGGTTCTAGAGATTACATGTTTAATGTCAAGGGAGCTTCCTTGTGGTTAATTACTTTGTACAGGTAAAGGAAACACATTATAGATGTGGGTCTTGAGGAAAACTCCCAGCTGACCCCAAGGTGAAGGTCAGAAGCAGACAGAAGAGAATGTAATAAGGGCAGTGTGTTGTGGTATCGTATACGTGGGATTAACTCACCAGTCTCCCTTCTATCAGTAGGTTGATTTATTGTAAATGGAAACTTACATTGTGATCATTTTATGTGTTAGGATCTCCAAATTTCAGGATGATTTTTTTTTTTCTCTCTTTAAATTTTATGGCATTTGGGTATACGAGGTGGATGTATGAGATGGGACCTAATATTTTGTGAAAAGCTACAACAAAGGCACAGTTTCTGTTGAAATGGCTAGAAGGTTTTTTGGGAGATCGCCGAATTGGTGAGATGAGACTTAGGAATGCATTGAACATTGATTTTGACGCTGCCAGTTGGAATTTAACACTGGAAGCATAATTGTTCCATTTGTATAGTCTTATTTTGTGGGGCTTGTCTCGCTTCCACCTTTTCCTTTTCACATCTTTACCCCATTCGTGTCTCGGAAATAGTTTTCTTGCTAATAAAGCATCCAAGATCTGTTAAATATCCTTTCCTTTAATCATATAGCCTGGTCTGCCAACATAGTGCCATCTTTCTCAATAATAGGCAATGGGCTAATTGCTACGAGGCTTTATATTTTAATATTTTGTCCAGAATCTCACGATCCCAGAAATACATTATTGCTTTCACATTCGCGTCAAGGAAGCAGTTTGCTAGGTTACCAAGATGGTAGGTAGACACTCGGAGGTTTGAGAAATTAGGATGTGTGCATGTATACAAAGGATGAGAGAATGAAGATGCCTAATTCTTCTACAGCGGAAATGCATTATTGTATTGTTTTGTATATTTGATATAGTGACAAGAGGAACGAGCCATGAGCATGGGCCATGAAGGAACTTCCTCTTCTGCTTTGTTTTGTTGACCCTAGCGAAATCGGTCGGGAGAAGACATCTGAAAATGATAATGAAAAGAACTAGAGTATGAAACGTGCATGTTCTGGACATTTAACGTGTGGACAAACGCTGCCACTTCATTACGTACATCATGCCCACAAGTGTCGCACCATTCTTTATTTCTTCCGCATTCAACACAACCGTTCCAGATTTTCTACTGCCTCAATAACTAAATCAGGTAATCTACAAACTATACCACATCCATTCAGGGCTGACCGATCTGAAGTTTAGAAAAAAAAATTGAACTATTGAACTAAATTTTGATGTGTTTAAACTATTTTTAACTACGAATTTTACATTAATCTAGAATTTACATGTCAACACGGTTAATATTTTGGTTTCCATGTATTACATGCTTGAATATGATTGCAATATACAATAGAATATTAATGACTTTAGTCAAAGATTATCAGATGGTATAAATCGTTTACTAATGAAAATCTCCTCAGTATTTTCTTCTGCTGATAGATCTATTTATTACTTTAATTTAACACATAACCCCTCCGATAGCAATTTAGAATTAGAATCATTACTCCTAGAGAGTTAGAGAAATCATTGTCAGACTTAAACAATAGAATGAAGCAAAAGGTCAAGGTCAAGCAGTGACGTATCCAATCATATCTCTCTGAAAACATAACGGACAACCGACCTTAAGATAATAGTGTACATGGTAGAAGCCATATGACGGTAGAAGTTAGAAAAAGAAACAGAAACAGAGGACACATTGGTCAATAATACAAGCAAGAGTGCAAGACCTAGTTGTCTATTTATTATAGTAATAATCGGTAACTCGCACACACACTCACCCACGTACATAAAAAGCCACATTCTGCTTCTTCCTCCTCCAAAGTCTGAAAAGCAAAAGTCCAAGACACATGATCCCACAATGGAAGAAACAACATCAACTATCATCATGGCTGCACTCTCCACCCTCACCACTTCCCAATTCTCAGATCTCACTCACTCCATTCTCTCCACCACCCACCACCACCATCGCCGCCTCGCCTCCCTCCTTTCTTCCCCAACGCTCTTCTCGCTAACCCTCCACCACCTCCACACCCTTTCCCTCCCCCAGAAAACCCTCCTCATCGCCCGCCATCTCCTCTCCTCCCTCCACCTCCTCACCGCCACCTCCCCGTCGCCATCCACGACCACGAGGCAGCGCGACCTCGACGCAGCTCTCCTCCTCCTCCTCCTCTGCGAAACGCACAACCACAATCCACATGCCCTCGAGGCACCTTTTTCCCAATGGAGGGTCAACCTCAGCACCATATTCTCCGATTCATTGTTGACGTTTTCCTTTGCACCCCTAGGGGCATGCATGGGCTCGCCGGTGCTGATTCCCTTCGTTGAGACCGTGACGCGGTGCTGGAGACTCGTCGGCACGCTGGATTGCGGCGGAGGAAAGGAATTGGACGAGGTGGCGGCGTCGGCTGCGGCGGTGGTGGCGCTGCCCTCGGTGGAGGTGAGGGCCGGTGGGAGAGAGTGTGTGATCTGCAGAGAGGAAATGAGAATAGGGAGGGACGTGTGCGAATTGCCATGTCAGCACTTGTTTCATTGGATGTGTATCTTACCGTGGCTGGGGAAGAGGAACACGTGTCCTTGCTGCAGGTTTAGGTTACCGTCCGATGATGTCTTCGGAGAGATCCAACGCCTGTGGGAAGTCTTGGTTAAAACGGCTGCAAAATATTCATAGTTACGCTAATTCCTTAATCACGATTGCAACCAAGAAAAATATCCACCATTGGATTCACATCCAATGGTTAACGAATCTGGACAGAGTGTTTCGCGGGGAAAGAAACATAGTTACGTAACCTTGGTTAATGTTGTACTGTTATTTTTTCAGTTTCTTACTTAGGGCCGACGGTCTAGGGTTTATGATTTGCTGATTTTTGTGTGCGAAGACTGGTTGGGTTTGTTTGATTTTGATGTTTTTGACTTAAGAGAGGGACTCCTGTGGTAGAGGGCTAAGGGTATGATTGTGTGGCCAAACGAATGGATTATGGATGGATAGATAGATAAAAGACAAGTGTGAGGTGCTGAATGTAATAATAATCTTAAATGTATAGACAGAGTAAGCCTCGGATAGATATATGTCCATAGAATCAATAAAGTATTGCAATATCTTTCAGTTTCACAATGTGTTCCTCGTTGTTGTTGTTGCCACTTGATTTGCATTAATTGCTAATTTGCTACAAGCTTCATAATTCTTGCCACTATCTTGATGTGCCTTAAAACTGACAAACCAAACCAATCTCACTTGCCAAACATTCTATCTACAGCTATTTGACTACACTGTAGAGTCATTCATTTTATTTATTTATTATTTTTTCTATTAAAATGGTAAACCAGGTATGGAAACCCATCTTCCAATCTGATGGTAAATTCTTTCCTTGACAATGTTAGATTTAGAACCCTCATTAATTTTATTCCTCATTCTTCATTTGCCACTTTGGCAAAATTGAGACAAAGGAAAAAGTTCAGCACCTCTCCTGTGTTGGGGCATTACACTTTCTCGTATTTTGTTGAACATCTGTATAGAAAAAGTAGGAGTAGACAAAAAGTAAAGAAAATAACTTTACAATGGAAAGATATTTTAACTTTTGTTAATTGGGGGTTGCGAGGGAAATAGATTTGCCAAAGAAGCCCGATACAGTAGTATCATGTATAAATGTCTATACATGATGCAGTATTCGTTGTGTTATGACCAGTGAAAATTAATAATATTCAACAGAAATAAGCAGAATGAGGGGTACCAATAGCAAGGCTCCAAAAAATTATGAGCATCTTGTACTAGCCCATCCAAGCCCAATGATCGCAAGTATCAATACCTTTAACTTCCTGCACCTAATTAATTTTTTGGTTAACTTTATTTCTTTCAGAATAAATTTCAAAAAGCCCATTCTAATATGAATGGAAAGTAGCCCAAGACTTTATGGGTCTAAGAAGAAAAACCCAACTATGTTCCAACAATTGAGAGGACCAAACTAGAATGAAACTTTTCCTTTTCGAAATCCATGACTCCTTTTATGGGGTATCTTTTCTTTCATGTTTACTGAGGCAGATTTCGTAAAATTAAATAATAACCAACTATAATATAAATGAAACGATGTTAGGTGTTAATTATATTTTATAATAATAAAATTTTGTATCAATATTTTCTTGATCAAACTTACATCAGATTCAAATTTTCTAAACAATATTTTGAATTCAAACTGTATGGACTAGTAAAATACAATTAAAAATTATTTCATCAAAAATATAAGTCAAATTCTCTAATAAAAAATTAATCATTAACAAAGTGAATGTATAAAACACAAATTATATTTTGTATACCTAAATGTGATAAACATGTAAGAAGTATATGACAGTTGAGAAAATATGTATGGATTACGTACTCTATATATTAACCAGTAACATCTACTAATATTATTTTTTTCAGTTTATAATATTATTAGAGATTATTTAACATACTAACCTATTTAATAAGGAGAAGTATATATTTTTTAACTTTATAATTTTGTTTAGATTTATTTAAATTGTTGAATTTAATCGTCAAACTTTTAAACATACTAAATCTTATTTTTTTACAATTAAATTTCATATTCAATGATATTTTTTTTATCATCATAAAATTAATATAGAACTACATTGATATGAAATGGTAATTCTTTTATATCTAAATTTAATATTTATTAACAAATTTTTAGTATTATAAAATTGATAAGAACGTCAAATTCACATTTTATTTTTTAGATTTGATAATTAATTAATTACTTTTAAAGTATAATATAAAAATCAATTTTAACGAAAAGTTTAAAATTCAAAAGTACACTTAATTATTATATTTTTGTTAGGTAAAGTCTAGGCTAATCCTAATAAATTTATAGCTACTTAATTATCGTTTTTACTGGATCCAAAAGTTTGTTTTTAACCAATAATAATTCTTACCATGACTTATTACAATGTCCTCGGGTTGGGAATTTATGGAATAAAATGTATCTACTGAAATTACTGTACAATTAAATTATTTAATTATATTTACAAACTAAGTTGAATTATAATATAATTTGAGTGAATAAAATCAAATTATAAATTATTCTAATTTTTTTAACTATATATAAATTGTTTGAACTAATATTCACAAATATACAATTTTAAAGTATAATAAAAATATGATTAAAAAATTAAAGAATAAAAAAAGTTATTAACTAATTGTGTTATTAACTAATTATTACAGGACATATTTTAACCATCTGCATGCAAGAGCATTGTAAATTTTAAGTTTGAAATATCATAAATAATGTGTGTTACTGACATGATTAAATTAAAATAAAAATACAAGTGAATAGTAATTGTTATCTTAAAATCTTGTTATGAAATTAGTTAAATGGACGGCCCTTAGTCTGCGACCTATTAAAAAGGATGGAACCCTAAAAGGAGGGTGCAGTGGTCCTACAGTGAGACAAAGTTGAATCCTTAAAAGTTTTGTGCAAAATCATGTAAAGTAAGAGATGCAACAACTCTCTACATTTCTTTGAGTGCAGAGCAAGACATTACTCATTATGCTTCTCTTCCACACATTAAAACATCCAAACATCAAATTCAACTATTCTCTATCCATTTCCGCGGCTACAATTACATAATTTCATATCATAATCACTTTTGCCCTTACTTTTTTCTTCTTTAGTTAATTACTTACACCCGTATCTACCAATTTTACTAATAATTAAACTTAAAATTTGAGAATAATGGTGTGGAAGTCTCATTCAGTCTCTCTATGTCATGTTATATAATCTTAAAAATGTAAATTTTCTAACTGAATTATGCAAGACTAGTTCAACAACAAAGATGGTTATATTAATTTATATATTATAATACAAAATTAGTTCTGCAATAAGATAATTATATTAATTTATATATTATAATATTATTATATATTTAATCGATAAATTTTTAATATTTATTAAAAATAAGATATCCAATAACAAATATTATAATATTATTATATTTATAGTTGAGAGGGAGAAGACAATTAAATAAGGTCACGTGACAGTGGTGGAATAGTCACCCATTTCATGCGAATTCAAAATTTAAATTTAACTGTTGTTTCAGATTGCACGTAAAAACCAATAAATGCTGCAGAATTATGTGTGTCTGTATCACAAAAAACACTCTCCTTGTGTGTGCCTGCTGCAGCCTGCAACTGCTGCACCAACTCATCTAATTCACTTTTCTTTCTTCTTTTAACAATTTTTACTGCCAAATTAATTTGCTTCTGTGAATTTCATTTCTGTTTGAAACTCAAACAGCCCTTTAAAACCAACAAAACAACCTGTTAACAAGTTTAAAAGACAGAGCAGAGATTCAAACATTTTAATTATTAATCAATAAAATACAGTTAATCAGTCACGTTGTTAATATTTAATATTTTATGACTTCAGAACATACCCTTTGGGCAATTGCAACATGTATTAAAACATTAATACTTTAATTTCTTCACGCAAGCCTCTGATTTAGGCAAGTTTCGCTATAATTTATTTTTGATCGGTGGATAGTCCCAATCAAAGTAAAAAAAGAAAAAGTGGGTAATTGAATTTTGCTAAGAAAGAAAGGAATAAAACAATGATAAATGCTTACTTCACAGGCACATTGTTTTAGCTGTTGAGTTTTACAAATTGGTAGCTGTAGAAAAAGCATAAGAAACATTTTCATTGGAAAAAATACAGAGTGTCTTTTTAACTATTACAGTCAATAAGTGCAACAACAGAGATGTGTACTTGTAGGTGGATATTTAATTATTTCATTTATTTATAACTCTTAGATAGTGACTTCAAAATCAAAATCAAAGTCACCTTGTGAGTTGTTCTGAGCAAGATTCCATTCCCCCTATAGTTTGTTTTTTTGAAATGCTGATGTACATCTTTTTTTGAACCTGCACATTGCACAACAAGGATTCATCTTCCAGAGAACTATCACACTACCTTTTTCCCTGTTCATTAAACAATCTCAACGCACTTTTGGGTGATCTGAAGAGCATACGTAGATGGGGTCTTGCAGTGGTGAAAGTGCAGGTAACAAGCAAGTGGTAGCTGCTGATAAAGACCACATATGGAGGTGTGTTTTGTTCTCTCACTCTATCTATCTCACTCACATTGCATTGTGAAATGGGGCACCCAGTGGCAACAAATGGAATGACATTGTTCAATGTGTTAATTCAGCAGCAAGAAAGTGGAAGATGAGGGTCTGAATCTGAACACTGTGGAGTGCCTTAGAGGGAGATTACTGGCAGAGAGACAGGCTTCAAGGGTGGCCAAGATGGAAGCAGAATCAATGGGGAACAAGGTAACATAAAATAACACAACACAACACAACACAACAATAACATATTTGATCTAACAACAGTATCAATCTTGCATAATTGTTTCACTTTTATGTTGTACTGTTTGGATCACATCTGTAAAGGTAAGAAAATGACTCTGCTATTCAGCTTGTGTGGCTCTTTGTCTGACAAACTTTATTCTGTGTCTCCATTTTTCTCTCCCATAATTTGATGAAAAATTCTTCTGGGGACAGTTGGTTGAGTTGGAAAAATTGCTTAGAGAAGAGACCAAATTAAGAGATAAAGCTGAAAGAAGACTCAAGTTTTTGAAAAAGAAGATTGGATCTTTCAGCATACCCTCCAAGTCAGGGCAATTGGAGCATTCTGATTCGTCGGAGAAATATGAAAATTCTTGCGAATCATCTTCGATTAGTTCACTTTCCAAACATTCAGAAGAAATCGAAATAAAGCATGATGCCAAAATTCCAGCTTTGCCAGAAAATGTAGATCATAGTGACAATGTTTCAGAAGCCTCTACTCTTACTCAGACCCACAATAGTCCATCCAGTACAAAAGATTGCGATTCTCAAAATACTGATAATTTCAGTAGTAATTCAGACCCAAGTGATTCTTCCCCACAAATTCTTAGCGAGAATCCGAATCTGAGCTCTGGGAATTTGAAGAATGACGAAAGCAGGTACTAAATTTGAACATTTTGATGCTGACATTTAGATGAGATTTTACTTTGGCCTTTAGTTCCTTTACAACGAGGGAATGCACTTAAGAAAATATAAACTACATTTATAATTGTTTATTAAAAATCAACAACTAAGAATTTTAATAAAAATCTAATATATATAAAACAAAATCTATATTAATTAGAATCTCAGCAGTTGATATTCTAATTAGTTGTTCCTATATTACATTTTATCCTCTAGTATTTTTTTCATTCCCTTGAATATTAGAGGAGTCAAATTTAGTTTAATAAAATATGAGTTTTACTGTCATGAAAGTGTAAATTACATGTGAAAAATCTTTAAACTATCAGTTGCCTATAAATAAAATTCCTTTAGGTAACAAATATGAAGATGTTAACTGCTATAACTTAGAAGTGTATTGTATTAAAAAGTATTATTTCAGTTTAGAAACAAAATTCTATTAGATGAATAGTTTTTGTCCTTCAAGTTGAATCTGTTTGATTAAGCCACCAATTTTGGATTTTTGTACTGTATTTCAGGTTTTCCAGCTTAAGCTCAAGATCATCATCAGTGACAGAGAATGAGAGTGATGATGCGGATTTCTGTGATCATTCCCTGGCATTAGTTCCCGTGACTGTGACACCTACATCACATGCCACCAGTAATCCCAAACCAATTAATGTGAGTGTCCTTGAAGCTCTAGAAGCATTGAGGCATGCCAGAGAAAGGCTCCAAAGTTCAATGAGATCAAGCCAAATGATTCATGTTGGTCCAATTTAAGCTTCAACACAACACTGGCAGAGTAATAATGCTAAATTATCTCAATGTTTATATATTATAGACAGTGAGATTATGATCTTAGCATCAAAATAGACACGAATATCACAGACCTTGAGGTTCTAAAATCAATAAGATTGGTAGCAGAGAGGTAAAATTCTTGTGAATTGTGGTTTCACTCACCACAGAAAGCATGTGACGTGGGGATGTGCTGTCATCTCCTTTGGGGTCCAACTCTTCTGTCCATATTCTTTTCTTGTGCTTTTTCTTCATATACTTTTGGTGACTTTTAATGTGGTCACCCTTTGATTCCTGTGACTTGCATCAACATCATTATACTTGCCCTTATGGTTCATGAGAAGGACAAGGCTTATCCTCAACCATGACCACCACTGTAACTAGCCAATTTTGTCATCTGTTGCTCTTTTTCTCCTACACACAACCTAATTTCAGATGTCAAGCAATGAAACATCATCATTTTACATGTCTAATCTTGTGTGTCAAATTACAATCAAAGAATATGGTTAAGAAGTAAATCATCGGTAACCAGTGCTGCAAAAAAGTTGTTCAGTTTGCTTTAATATTTTGCATTGATTGCTGAGTCTCTAATTTTATTATTTATCTGGTTTGTGTTGCTATCAGACTTTGAATGTTACATCTTAAAGGGATTTAGAAAGCATAGAAAATCCCTCTGGTCCCGTGTGTTTCCCTCTTGCATTTCACTAAATGCCATTGTCACTTTCAAATGTATAAGCAACACTGATTATGTGTTGATGTTTGCTTCTATCAGTAGTCAAAATGTAACGCGTCAAAAACAGCGTTATTTTGTTGCATTATATACTCTTTCTGAATAACACTTTCTTAAGTTAAGGATTAAAATGAAGGTTGTGCAAAATTAAAAATTAGGTCACACTTGTAATGTATTTTACTTTTAAAATTGTAATGAATAAATTTGATATGCTATTTGTGGATAGTGCATGTGGGGCATGTAACATTGAAGTTGCTTAAATATTAGGACACCAAAATTTATATAACTATTATCATGAAATACATCAAGAAAATGAAAGAAACATGATAAGCTTAGTGTGATATAGGAAATGACCTGTGAGTTTGCGACGCGTGTTCTGATTATCATTAGGGGCGGCGCCTCTTATATTGCGACTTGTGAGGGGAAGTTGCCCTACCAAAACTTTTTTTTCACCGTCGATTTTTTTTTTTTTATCAAATTTTGGTCATTATATTTTATTAAATTTGTAATTTTAGGTTTAAATTTTTAAAAATTTTAGTTATAAAAACATTCATTTTACATTTGATATTGATTAATCAATTGTGGCTGGTTTAATAACGAAAAAAAATGAATTAATGAACATATTATAATTCATTGAAGTGTAAAACATAATTTGTAGATATATTATTTATCTTCAACTAGATTATTATTATTTTTTCTCTTCTCGTTCAATTTTTGGCTAGCTATCTTTTAAAGAAATCTACTTATCTCAAGTTCAAATAATAAATATCTATAAAGATAACTCGTATTTATTAAAAAGAAAGGAAATTTTAATTTGATATGCATCAAAATTATAATTGAACCTTAAAGTTTTGATTCTTAATTTTTTGGGCTTCCCATTCAAATAATGGAAAAAAATGGTTTAAAAGTCCAACATAAATCATCATAAATTCTTAATTTAAATTTTTTAATTATTGTACAAAGGTAATTATGTAGTTGTAAATTAGAACCGTGTTTTACAAAGATTGTCTAGCCTTCATACGTATGAGTTACTTCACATATCATATGGGGTAGAGCTTATGTCATCTTATATTATTTATTTTTCAAAATTTATTGACGTTTTTAGTTTTTTTTCTTTCCAAATATACTTGATTTTATAAGTTTTATATTTGATTAACTAGATTTAGTATTTATGAAAAATATTAAACTTTCAATATATTAAAAAAAAACATTTTAATAAACAAGATATTACAATTTAGACTACATACTTAAATGTTCAATTTACATGTACTAATTTCATGACTTGTCTTAACATTAACATTTTAAATAGGGAATAATCTTAATTCTATAATTTGTCTTAATCTAGTACTATAATTCTTAATTAGATTTGATTCAACTAATTAAAGTAAGTTTCACTCATCCGACTTATATTATTTTGAGTTAATTCATTTTAATGTAACTCTTTTAATCTAACACATCTTATATGTTTTATTATATGTTTTAATTGATCGCAACAACTTAATATAATGATTTCAATTTATCAACCTAATCCAAATTGACTTAATTTTCCTAATATAATACACTTTATTTTGATTGGGTCCAATACAATCGATATGTCTCAATCTCTTAAGATTTTTATTATTTGATAAAGTTTATCATATGAATAATGAGTGTTATTACTTATGTAAGTAATATTTGTTGGAAAAAACAATAACAATAATAATAATAATTCTGATTTTGATTCTAACGATCAAACATAAACGTAATCTCATACTGATAAACATATTGTAAACTAAATGCAAAAGCGTACCTGAATTAACCATAATGATGATGTCTTTGTAGAGCACTATATTGATCTTATGATCTTCCAACTGAAGAGCACCTGTATTTCCCTCTTGATTTTCTCTCTTGATGGGGATAAAAAGAAAGGAACAGGAATGAAATTTACGTTCTGTCTTTGTGCTCCCAGAAGGGGACCATGACCCTTTAGATAACCAGAATTAGGTTAATTACTTAAGTTTTAGTATTTCCAATTTGACCCCTCATCAAATTAGAAATTGCTCAATGTTCTCTACACAATTTTATTTTCATGACATATGCTTTTAGCCAAAACTTTAATTTAGTCAGATCACTTTATTATTTGACTTAATAAATAATGGCCCTAACACATTTAAATTATGTATCATATATATACATGACCCAAATTTTGCCAACAATCTCCCACTGGTCACAAATATATATGTCCTTACAACCTTACAAATGTGTTAGACTTTATGAGCTCAAAATTGTCATTATATTTCTTTAGTATACTCCAAAAGTCCTGTCCATTAATCATATCAGGATATAGAACCAAATCAGTTTTTCATTGCATCATCGCAATTAAAACCAACAATGATTACTCATCCTAACATAACCAAATGACATGGATTCATCATGAAATGTGTAGCATGAAAAATTACGTGAAGGTGATCTGTACACGTCTATTTTCAACTGGTCCAAACTTTAACTTATCAAGATCGATATAATATCCTTAATGTACAAAGTGTAATGAATGAACGAAAAAACTGCATATCTATAAATAACAAAATATGTCCAAAAATCAATGTATATATATATATATATATATATATATATATGAAATTAAACATAGAACATAAAATATATGAAAATGACTAACTCCCACTAAACCACAAATTTCTCAAACTGTAAAACACCCATGTGAGCAACATGCTCATGAAAGACCTTGGGCGGAAGTTCTTTAGTTAGAGGATATACTATCATGGAGTTTGTCCTTAAGTGTTCTATGAAAATCTGTCCACTTTGTACTATTTCCTTAACAATACAACTGATTTATTGTCACAATATAACTTAAGTGGTTTTTCAATGTCTTTCACAATTTGCAGCCCTGTGACAAAATTTCTCAGCCATATTCCATGATTTGATGCCTCATAGCATGCTACAAATTCTTGACATCCTGCAAAATCTGAGTCAAAAAATCCAGCGATCTCCAACTGGTCTGACCTCCTGTATGTGAGCATATAATCTTTTGTTCTCTTTAAATATCTTATGACCCTTTTTGCTGTTTTTCAATGGTTCATTCTTGGATTGCTTAAATACCTGCCTAGAACCCCAATTATGTATGTTATGTCTGGATGCGTACATACTTGGACATACATCAAACTCCCTACAGTTGATGCATAGGGAATCTTTTACATTTCCTCAATTTCCAAATTCCCCTTTGGGTACTGATTGAGACTAAATTTGTCCCTCTTTAAACTTGTGATACACACAATCATCAACAATATTCATTTTGAAACCAAATGAGTTTCATACCTTCTGGTAATGGGACAAGTTTTTAAACATTTTTGTCTTGCATGGATTTATACTTCTTCTTCATTGCTTCAATCCACTTTTGAGAGTTAGAACCTTGTATAGCTTGACGGAAGTTAACTGGGTCATCTTTCATTATATTATTATTTTCCTCATGTTCCTAAAGAAATACCATGTAATCATCCAAAATAACACTTCTTCTTTCTCTAGTGGATCTCTGCAAAGTTATTAGCTCATGATGCAGAGGTACTTGAATCCGTAGGAGTAGGGGGTTGCTCAGTCCTTAACGCAAGATCCATATCCATGCAACCAAGAATAATATTAATGTTCTCTTTCCAGTCCTTAAAATTTGTTCCATTGAGGATCAGAACAGAATTTAAATTGGCAGATACAGAATCAATTGTAGCTGAATTTAGAATACGAGAAATAAACTAATTATGCTCACATTATATAAAAATTAAATAATATATATTCAAATAGTGGTTTAACCCATCTCAAGACACCCAATGCACCATCAATATCAAGTCTTTGGACAGTAATATTAACTGCTAGATGTATCTTGTTATAATAATCAAACATTGACAATAAAACACGTCCAACAACAAACCAGTCTTTGGATTGATTTATCATTGATAAAACAAATCCTTATAATTATCACATGTTTATCATTACAAGTGTTTATGCAATTCGGCCAAATATTAATCTTCCTTTGGGCTGACTAATACTCGCATGAATATACACAAACACTAACATTCAATATTTTTCATGAACTGCCCAATTCAAGAGAGGTTACTTTGGTGACTTCTTGACTCAATTTGCTCACAAAAAATATTAAACTACCAAAAAATTGAATATTTTATTTATATAACAAAACCAAATATTTAATATTTGCAAACTAATTCAAAAGAGAATCACCTCATTAGAATTCTACTAAGGATGAACACCT